CTTTTGCATAATTCTTGCCTTTGGAACACTATAGCAGAGTACCACGCATCTTCAATAATATACTGGTCCCCTTCTGCTTCTGTTGTTCTCACTACTTCTTGCACAAAATAGGTTATTTCCGCGTCTCTTCCCTGTACATCGATATATTAATAAAAGAGACATTACTCTGACCTCAAATTGGTTGCGCATACGACGAATTTCAGTGCCCGTTCCAGCATTCGCGTGGAGCTGAGTCGAAATCACGAAGTAAAAGAGCGAAGGTTTTTTGCAGAGCCATATAGAGTGATGATATAATAGCCTCACTAGTGTCAACTAGTGAGTGGACAATTGCCAGATTTCCTTCGATAGTACAAATATTTCAAGAAAAATATAATGGCGTATATAGTACAAAATGATTATAAAAGGGACTCCTTTCATCACTTACTCTTTACTAACCACCTCTCAGCTTAAATGCTAAGTAATTATGATCAGCTGAGTAAACTATTAGAATTGAACACACTGCTGCTGCTTATGCGTTTCATCGAACGCTCTTCGTTAGCACACAAAATTCCACAGCCATAACACAACTAAAATCAGCATGGATCGCCAAATTTATTATCAACTGCACCTATGCTGATCTATAAATTTCGCGTGCTGCTTTAAAATCTCTACTTAATTATGAAGGCTGCATTGTTGCTGTTCTACACCATATGAGAGTTGGGATCAAGTAAAAGATGGCATCAAAGCTGTTACTTTGCAGTAGGCATGCGCATTGGAAGCGATAACAAGCTCTACATGTAATCAACGCAATTATGGTCGAGCGAGACATGGTACATGCTAAGGTTTAGAGCGCACTTTGACCTCTTTTACAAGAAAAATACAAGTAAGTTTAAGCCAGCATTAACGATCGCAACCACGAACTCTAAACCGACGTATTTGTTCAATCTCAGCGCCTATTGCTGACGAAAGAGTAACGCAAAGAAGTATTACAATCTGCAGTTGATCGACAGCAACCTTATCATATAGTGACCCAAATGCGCTGTCGGAGTTGTAACAATAACTTCCGAGGTATTTACAATACCATCATTTAAAGCGGCTGCGCATCCTAGCTGAGCGTTTCTGATTATTTTTCTATTTATAGGCCATGAATACCGCCCCGATGAAACTTATTTTGCTAAATTTAGTGGTCAACGACAAGTGACGCACCTTCTCATTTTTACGTTTTCCGCTAAGCAAATTTTGCTGTCGATTTAGCGCGGAACGGGTTTATTCGATCGACTGAACGTACAATACAAACCGTTTTGGGTCGACTTTGACGCATGTTACGGGAGTCACATCCGCACACCAAGCATTTAACTTTGCCTACTGTGCATGTCTGGGAAACGTGCGATAGTATACCTTTGGGCGTTATGGTACATACAACATGCTTTTAGCTGCATGTATATAGATAAAAGGCGATTGTAAATGATCATGAACTCGTATTATACAGATTGATCGACTCTTTGTGTTGACGACAGCAACGTAAGGTTTCTTTTGTTTAAGTGGCACGTCAGCAAAAATGACTCTTATTGGCAGCGAAAGACCTTTCCAAGATTTGCATCTTTGAAGTTTTTAAAAACTCGAAAAACATTGGTGCAATCATAAACGGCAGTTGCATAGAATCTACACTTGACTAGGATAAAAAATATATTCTCGCCATGTCGTGTTATACGATAAAGATAATTGACTGCTGATAAAGAACCGATTTGAAGCAGTGTTTATTTGTGATACACCGTGTATTGGTCACGTAACAATTTTGAGCATTAGAAGCGCGCATGTAGCAGTCGAATCATTGTAAAATATGTGTCTAAGGGGAAATATTCGAAGGTACAATTGCTTATAATTTCTTCTGATCTCAAGCTTGCAACTGCAGACTGCAAAACGGTCGGGAATGGGCGTCAACAAGTTGTGGCTAAGCATTAGTATTTTATGAAGTTATCGGCAAGGCCTCTGATTATGCTTAATAGATAACGATCAAAGAGTGCAAAGTGCAAATTGGTACATCTCTAAAAATCTATGGAAAAACGCTGTGAAATATTAAGGTGCATGTATTTCGAATATTGAGATGCCGTGCAGGCACAAGTTTCGTCAACTAGCAGCTGAATCAGCAGTATAGATTTAAAAAAAACGCCAAGAGTGCTGAGCCTTGAGGATTTTGCTTTAAACTGGTGGATGGTGTATCCTCCTCAATAAGTAATTTATGTAGCATTCGCATCAAATAGGGGAAATAATAAAGACGACAAGATGACTTTAAAGAGAGAATCTCGTACAGGCAGCGAGTAATTATTGACCATCTAGATGTGCTACCGGAAGCGGACGTCTTCGATCCATCTTTATTCGTGGACGCGGACTCCTGTTGGTGCTATAAGGCGTCAAATAATGGGGCACCAATCGTATATATATACTGAATGTGTCGCACTTATAATTGTAAAGAATTCCTCGCGGAATATACGTCGATACATTCTGCGAGGAAAATTCTACTTCTATATGTGTTTATTTTATAGTGATTACCAAATCGCGTCTAATTTTGCATTTATTTACGTTGTTTTATCATTAACATTCCGCTACTTACAGCGCGATAGTATTACGCCCTTTTTTACAATGGAGGGTGAGTGGGGACTAGCGGCTCCTAACCACAAACAATGTTCCTATTGACCACATTTTGATATCATTATAATCAAACGGACTAACACACTATATCGAGCTTCGTAGCATCATTTCTTCGTTTGCCTTTTTTTAATAATAAGGCACATGCAGCCAGTCGGATCTCCCCTCCCAAACAATTTTGTGACAAGTAAAATTTAATAAGGAAAAGCGACACGAAGCGATAGAGGGAGCATATTACACGAAGGTTAAGATCTGGTACGCTTGATATAGCGCATGAAAGGTGATGGATGAGGCTTTGGCTATCGAAAAAAGTTCAAATGACCCAGTAAGTCTATTTAGATCACACAACCTTGTTGTCTTTGCTAACATGTTGTTATAATCTGCTTGGCAGACCTAAATATCACTACTGTCTTCATCTAAGTGCACCTATTTTCAACGTATCAACACATGCTCCACTAGTTTACCACACCATAGTCATAATCAATTCGATCAATTTCTTGATCGAGGAATTGATAAAGCTGACGTACTTTTTGTCGTTGTCATGTACATTATTTTGAGCTTTCAAGAGACCCCTATTACATGCTCCACCTCACTTGGCCTCCCGCTACCAGTCCACCTCGTAGCGTCAATATTTTTGTAATGTGGTGCTTTAACCCTTCGTGCGGTGTCCCAGTAATTTTCTACCTTGCTTGCGTAAGTAGCTTGCTCGTTTATAAAAAGCAACAAAGGCTGCCAAACGAAGTATGCAGTGCCGATGTCGCTAAAGGGGAATAGGAATACAAATTGGCACGAAGTGCTCTTACGATTAAAACAATGGGAAACAATGAGTCATTTAAGCACGATTACTGAGGTTTCATTTAAACAAATGTAAACTTAGATAAATACAAACAGAAAATCGGGGAACAAAGGCTCTTGCATCGGCTACAAGTTGAAACGGTCATCTATGGACATTTAAGCGAAGCCATCGAATCGATGACTAGTTGACACTCGATGGAAACAGTAGATTACAGCAGTATCGATATCGCCGGATGTACATGTGGTTGATGCGAAAGAATTGGATTCGATTTCAGACATAGATTGCAATACATGATGAGAACGAAAGCATGCATCTTGTCATTCTTTTACATTTGCGCTCATTCTTCTCCAATTTCGTTCACCTTTGCTGTATTCTATCTGTATCTAGACTTATGTTGTCGATTTCAGTATATATTACCTTCGGACGTTGTGAATGACAACAATTGTTTCGTTGCTCATCGTGAAGATGTGTGCCATAGTATGCAATTTTACAATGGCTGATATTTCCTGGGTATCGCTCTACAATATATGTCAGCTAATAATGCACTGTCAATTAAAAACGTTGCTAGGGGCACACTGCTCAATACAGCGCCTCTGTATCCTAATGAAGCATCTGCGCTCGAAAAAAAAAGCGTCGACGACCCACAATTAGTCATTACAACGACCTAAGTGTAAATTCATACCTGCTCCGTATAGTGCTGCATGCCCTTGACAACGGAATCTAACAACGAGCTGCATCTTGGCACCTCTGAGATCTCCGGCTCGTGCAGGATCATATTGAGTAGCATAAGCATCGCTGAGCTGCGATGGAGGTCGCGAACTTGAGCTTGTCTGTCTACGACGTTTGCAAGCTTCACATACGCAAGATTATCTGTCCCCGCGACAGCCACGACAGGCGCTCTTGCGATGAGGCGATGACTTATGTGGTAGTCAGCAACCCTCTTTGAAACTGTCTCGATCTAGATAATACTGACAAAGCATTTAGATAAGTACCTGTTTGATTGACTGTTTCTTCTGGTCTGTGGTCAGACTCTTGTCGCCGTAAATTGATAGCGAATAAATGCGCAGTAGTGCGGCGAAAGGGCACACATTGGCAAATATTAACTCTTGCTGCTGGGTCGGAGGGGATTGTCCGACTAGGATCAAGCAATAAGTTATGCTTCACTTTTACCTTATTTACCTGGGATACCACCTTTGTGCCTTTGACAGCAACACAAAGTCTTCTTGTCGTGCGTGTTCACAACCCATTGCATTTGCTAGCTCAGGGGAAGCGTGTGCAAGCTAAGGTGGAGGTTCGAGCTGTCGATCGTGTATTTCGGATGCGACGTTAGAGTTCGAAACAAGTCGAAAGGGTGCAAGATCGAAATGTCCATACATTTGTGTCAACACATTGCCGTGGCGAGTTCCGAACCTTCGTTCGCTTTTTTATATCCTCTCAAATCCCCTGATTTGACCATACAATAATAGTGACAAACCCATATTAATTGTTGGTGGATAAGCGCTGATTATTGACGCAAAGATAGCCAAAGCAGGGGCCCGCAAACATCGATACATTGTTCTCATCACTAGATACCCACACGATGAGCGAGACACTGGACATGACGACGCAGCAAGCGACACCCGACGCTAGAGCTGAGACAGGCGCGACTTCGGACGACGAGGAGCAGCCGCAGCCGCAGCAGGTGAAGAGCGACAAAGATGAGAGCAACGCCATGGAGAAGCTCACGGACCTCGTGGAGGAGAAGCAGATGGACGAAAACAAGATGAAGCAGGCGTTCCAGGCGCTGTGTAAGCAGGAGGAAGCCAACAAAGAGGCGGAGCGGCTGCTGGAGAAGAAGCTGGCGGCAGTGAAAGTCAGCAAAGACGACGTGGCGCTCGTGGCGCAGGAGATGGAGATCTCGACGCAGCAAGCGGACCGCAAACTGCGCGAAGCCGACGGCGACGTCGTCAAGTGTCTGCAAGCGCTCGTTGCTGCTTGATTGGTTGGTTGGAGATAGAAACAAGAGCTTTGCTTGGACAGCATGGGACTTGATCGTTCGTATGTCGTTTGTCTCTTGTGGTACAAAAGGGAGAGAGGGGTGAGTGCACGGGTATAGATGGGTAGTGACGCTGTGGATGGAATAGCGTGAGCGGAAATGCACGTCATGGGATATTAGAAGACTCGAGGCACACGTGGTCACTCGGTCTTCGATTTACTTGCTACGGATGTTTCGTGGGATGTGGGATGCAGCGTGCCTATACTGTCAAAGGTGTCATGAGAATAAAAGAGAGTAGCATATCACGCGTGTAAGACATGCAAGATATGAAAAAGGTAGCGTATCTTTTTGTAGAAGCGATTCGACATGGATAGTGTCGTATGCAGACAACGTGTTCGTTCATGAATCACAAAAATTGCTAGCTAGAGGCCAGTCATGGGGAGCTAGAGGCCAGTCATGGGGAGCTTTACATGGTGGGCATTACTTATGCAATCACAGCAGCACGGACCAAGTGATGTCTACGTACTGACCAACTGCACAATTCTCATGTCAAAGGGGTTGAGCGCAACACGTTATTTAGGTGCCTGAGTACTGGTATGCAACATATTTCGAGCCGCAAGTTTGCAATGCACTAATTCATGTACGATGACCGAGCCTGTCATCCTATTATAACTCGAAATAGTTGTGGCGTGCCAAGCAACAAAGTATATTAGATTGGGCGATTTGGCTGTCACCACATGGACTGCACGATCTCATCGCAATCGTCATCGTCATCGGAACTTAGCGCGTGTCATCTCAAGTGCTATCGAATGCAGAACGCAATTGCTGCAGTCTTCCGTTATTTAATCTTCATGCTCTAAGTAGTGTAACTGTAGTAGCGAGTAGTACGTTGGTCAGCTGCGATACTTTCCAAAGGCAGATACCGCACCCGAGTTCCAAATCTTCCAGCAGATTGGAAGTGCCAACCTTACCTATGCCGGCTCACCAAACGATCAGGTACTATATGCTGAGAAAGCCTACATCATGCATGCCTTTCGGAGGATCATTGTTATATTTGTAGAAAGGAAGTTAGCTTCTGCAGTGCACAAGAGCGCAGGGTTGGCAAAGAACCTTGTCTCTGCTTTTTGCAATTCAATCGACGACCTTTGTCTTCCATCTCGCATCTTATGACAAAAATTCCAGCCAAGAAAAAACATGTCCAGCTGGATGAGTGTGCAAACTCAAAAGCACGCTTGGCTGGCATGACCTCAGTGTATACCGAATGCATGGTTGTAAACACCTCGTGCATACATTTTCGCTTCGAGCATAAGAATTTCCGTCGACAAATGGACCAGGCTGAGCTAGAAGTATTGCTCGACAGCATGGCATTGCTGCGGCGTACCGAACATGGATGCAGTAACAGATGTTCGTTGCTGTATCATCTAGCTGCGACCGATAATATGCTTGGTGCTGACGTCTCTATTATAATTATTCAGAGCCAAGGTATCCAAATTCTTAGCAACATCGAGTCACCATAGAGAGAAGGTGCTTCAAATTGACAGTATTTTGCTGAAGTCATGCATGGTTTGATGTTTCCGCCAAGAAATACAATATTCGCTTTAACTCCGTACCTTTGACTAACTGACTAAGACCACTGGTGGCCTTACTACGATCTTACTCGCTATTGCATCTGTTTGAATCCACGAGTTACGATCCTAGGTACATGGCAAGTCGAATACATAAGCTCCTTTGACCCTTTGTCATCATGTTCGTAAACGAATGGCGGGTCCATCACGTTGAATTATATGTGTTCTTGCCTGGTGTCAAGACCGTGGTTCTACGCATGATGTCAGGACGACGTCTGTGAGTTTAATAACGCAGACTTGCATAGAACAAAAATTGTTGGTTATAAGTCGGATTGCGTCGCACCAGCGCACGGCCAAGTAGAGCTGACAATGGCTGCAACATCTGGAGTAAAAGGCGAGAGTCATCTACAAATCATACGGTAAAACACACACGAAAACAGACTAGTATTGGGAGGTGAACTATTGCTAGGCGGATGTTTTACCTCAACACAGATACACTTGCAATAATGCGTTGTCAAATGGCATGGATACATAATTGGTCAGCACATTTGAACATAAGCATATTTGCACATATTGACTTTTCAATCAATGTTATGATCATTACAACAAAACCTGTTACTGCGCTGAACATCGTATTTCGCCGTTGTGGTGTATCGCACAAATTCGAGTTCGAATATTACTGTGCAGATACGCGAATAGCGCGGTAAAATCATGCAGTGTGACTTACCATGCTTGCTTGTTGTCACATAAGCAAATTGGTGTGTACTTAAGGTCAGGACGATGCAAGTGCTGGGTCCAATGGTGGCCCATATCCAGTAGATATGGATGACCCTCTTTTTCTTTGCAAATTCATGTCATAGCACAGACTGTGTCATGACGCTGTGAGCTTCCGTTTGGCCTTCATATTAGGCTTGCTGTTTACCGTTGCTATTAGTCTCTGTAACATATGCCATGCATCTGATCCGTCCGATTTATATTCTCGCGGCGGCCGCTCTTAGTTCTACGTCTACTATGACGGTTCATGGCGAGACGCTACTACCCACACTAATTAGAATCCAGATTCGTCGTATTTTGGGTTCTCTTCCATTTCGCCACCTCATACTCTACGCGGAATGTCTGTCGTTCAAATGACTGTTTGGCGCTAGCGCGAGTAATCATTCTGTACTCGACAACTGCAGAACGAGCGCTAAAAGGCATCCTACTTTGGACTATGTGTGTATCTCATATATTCGATGTGACCGCCGAATATATAAACAAATGTTTGTTTATAAGAACGGTGCAGGGTGACCCGGCATAAAGACCAGCGGAGACGATGCGTTACAGTCCTGTCTGCGCCAAAACACGCGACTTGCTAAGCTTGTCTAATACCAAAACGTATATTGCAAAGTACTCGTAAGCTATGCATTGTCGCCATTATTCTATCGCGATATTTACGTAGAAGGAAGCTGTGCTGGGCTGCATCATGCCAAGATCTTCTGCGCGGCAATGGGACATCTTATGGATCGACAGCATTAGCTATGGACAACGTTTTAAAATTGGTGGAGTCGCATATCTTGTGGTCGGTACATACACTCATTACCAGGACGGTGCGCGAGCACCTATCGTGAGATTCACTATCAGCAAATGTCGTTGACGCATTGCACTTTCATCGCGATGCAATGGATGCAAACATGTGACACCATCTACTTGGATGGATCAAAAGAGTGGTAGTGGAGGCTCTTCTTCTTCATTACGGCCTGACGCAATAAATGGTATAATGTCGATCCCGAGGTCGATTCGTAAAAGATCGGACCGGTGTCGTACTATTATCCACAACCGTTGCAATAGCTGGAAACAGCTTACTATAGGTGTCGTCCTAAAGGACGGTCTGCTTCCATACACCTCCGATTTGCTGGTAAGCTACAGCATTGTCGGGGATCCGTTGCAAGGAGCTAACAATGTATGAAAGATTATGGCGGTGCAACCGATGCCGATATGGCGCTCAAAAGCATTTCGGATGCTACCATCTTCGTGTATGTCTGCAGCGAATCTTACAATTTCCAGATCAATATCGGCTATACAAACCGAGTTAGCATGACGTCGAAAGACGTCTGTGTGCAGAAGAGCCGAGTAGGATGGAGCCATATCGTGAAATATTGATTATGAATGGGTAGGTAGACCGCGAAAAGGTATGTGCGACAATGAGTATGCGCTGTCTTGCAAATGATGGTGTGTGGGCATCTTGATATCCGTGCTTCGTCGAGCGATGCATCAAACCCATTTGTGGCGCAAGCAGAAAGTCCTAGCGCAGCGCAGAGACTGCCGTCGGCAAAGATGTGTGATAGCATAGGATTGACAAACATCGTGTGCGACAAACAGCGGCATCTCAATTCGACAAAGCAGTATCTTGCTTCTGGAGTCATTAAACAGCTTTGATGCGGTAACTGTTTCTTCGTCATGATGCAGCATTTTGAAATGGTCGATAAAGGCCTGCGACAACGGCAGCACCGTCCGGTGCATGATTGGATTCTCGAATAAGTGTACAGTGCGAGCCTGCATTCGCGCCAACGAGCTCCTTGCCGACACTATCACAACAGGAAGGAAGTGGTAACACTAATTCTGCTTTCAGGTTGGTATTCTTTACACCGACCAGGTAGATGGGCGTGACTTGTTTGTCAATCGGCAACGCCATTTAACGTCAAAAGTATTGTATTGAATGGGGCACGTGTTATTCTAGTCCGTTGCTTCGCTTGCACATGTGCAGTATGTCGCGCGTATAACGCAGAGCTTTGTGGACGACACGATGCTAGACATGCAAGCACTTTACAGCATCTTGCAAAAGACCGTGTATTCTCTTCCTTCACGCCTTAACAGAGAGGTGTGAAATTCTGCATTCGCACAGCGCTCACCGAAGTACATGTGCACGCACGCTCAACGATAACAAGGAGCGCAAGTCGGTGGATGATTGAGGTATATCGACATTGCCTACACATCGATCGGCTTGTCGGCGCCTCTCATGACGCACGAAGCCATACTCAACGCAATGGCCATCGTCAAGCGCAAACGTCGATTACTTTTGCACACAGATGACGAGAACGTCTTGTTCACGCGAAGCATCTAAACATGGTCCAGACCAAGAAGTGAGACATACTTATTGGCGCTAGCGATGGGCTCTCTTTCGTCACCGTCGGCACCTCATCTACAGGCTACTCGCTGACCTTCCCAAGCCACGTCTTAGACATCGAGTTGACAACATCCACGCCAAGAAACTCAGCCTAATCACTTCACCAAAGCCCCAAGCTTCGGTCTTCACTGCACTACAACCATCGTCTGCCACGTACAGAACGTCGCTCCGTTGGCCCCAAGCAAGAAGCACCCTTTGATACAACAATGCACGCAGGTGACATCCACAACCGACATGTCGACCTCAACTAGTTGATCAAACCCACCGCTCCACGTCGTTCCGTCCACCTCAAACACTGCACGCCGTCACGTCAGCCTACACGCTTTCCTTCTCGCCCCCTCACCACGTTCCTCGTATCCTCAGCTCTCCTTGTCACTTCGCACGTCCACGTCCTCGTCGTCGTTGTCGTCCATCCGTCTTGTCGTCCTGTTTCTGGAACGCCCAGTCCACGTGGATGACACTGCCCAGTATGTCATGCCCGTCAAGGCGCTCGATCGCAGCTTTCGCGTCGTCAAAGTGCGCAAACTCGACGAGCGCGTAGCCCTTGACAAAGCCCGACCGTCGGTCGAGGTTCAAGTGGATGTCTTTCACCTGCGCGTGCTCGGCAAACACGTCCGTCACGTCGTCTTCTTGGGCCTCTTCGTGGACGCCCGTGACAAACAAAAGATACCCTTCGACCGATCGCAGCGCATTCGAATGGTCCCGTGATCCTTTGGCCGGCGCGCGCAACGTCTCAAAGACTCCGCTCTTCGCCGGGTAGCGACTGACGTCCATGGCCGCAGACCCCGAGCCACGGCCTTTGACCACGCGCTTCGTGTCCCGACGCTGCGCAAGCGCTGTGCGGTCCTCTTGTGCGACTTTCTGCTGCTGCTGCTGCTGCTGCTGCTCTTCCTCCTCCTCCTCGACGGCCATCGCCGTGTCGCTCTCGTAGTCCACTTCCTCCGTCATGTCGGTCGTCGAGTGAGGAGGGCGTGGGCGAAGAGGTCCCATCGCGCGAAACGATTGGTTGAAAAGCGCTCGCGGACTCGGCCGACGCGAAAAGGGCGAAAGTATAACGTATACTACGCACGACGTAATTTATTGACCCGTTGATGACGCACCGAAGAGCGCAAAAAAAGATGCGGTTGATCCCGACTGAAGTCGACAAAGTATCATCTGTTGGGTTTTACACGACGTGTCAATAATGAGCAAGAGGATAGTCATGTTAAGGGTCTACGCGGCCTTCTGGACGCGCTCACACGTCCCTCGACGTGCGAAAGCGGTGCAGCGGCTCGCCGTCCTGCAGTGCTGCCATGACTTTACTGTCTTGGTCTTCAATCATCTCGGCCCGCGTTGCAATGTCCTGCGCGCGGTCCGCTGGAATCACAAGGACGCCGTTCAGATCGCCGCGGATGATATCGTTTGGCCGCACGACGCACCCAGCAACGAGGATAGTGCTGTTCACTTGCGTGACCGTAGTCGCCCCCTTCTCGCCATGCACTGACGTTGCGGTGGCAAACGCAGGAAAGCTCATGGCGCACAACTCGCGCACGTTTCGCACGCGTCCGTTCGTCACAACACCCGCAGCGTTGCGTGCTTTGGACGCAGTGGCCAACAAGGCACCAAACACGGCCGTCGTGCTCTTTTCCGGTGCACTTATGACCACCACGTGGCCCATTTCGACCGTATCGATGTAGTCGCACGAGCTACTATGGACCAGCGCTCCGGTGAGCGGCATCACCTCGACAGTGAATGCAGGTCCACAAATGTTCATGGCCAACGGCGCATCGTACCCTCGCACGAGGCCGACGTCCACCAAGTACCCGTCCAGCTTCATCTGAGCCATTGCGTCTGCAATCACACAAGTCGAGAGCTTGGCCAGGCGCAATAGCACTTCGGTGCTGTCTTGCGGTGGCTCGTTTTCCGACTCCAACATATTAGTGAGCAGCTGGTGGTCCGATCGTCGAAGCGCCAGCGACTGCGCCGTCTCGACGCCAGCAGCAACGTAAGCGTCGGATCGTGGAACAGGGAGCGACGTTATGGTCGCAACCGCTCCCTCAATCTCTTTGATCGCCTCGTCGTCGTTATTGCTGTTATTGTGGGGCTCGTGCTGGGCAGCTTCGTGCGTCGGGTGTATGGCTCCAGCTGAAAGCGGACCACCCGCGTCGGTCGTCGCTTTTCGCGTCCGCTGGTTGGTCTGGAAACCAGGCGCGCACGACATCTTGAGGTGCTCGGCGAGGCGCGTGGCGTTGCTCGCGTACTGCTTGTCGCACTTCTTGCATTGGTAGCGGACGAGTCCTTTGTGGTCTGCTTCGGGCTCGAGACGGACAAAGAAGTCGTACACATTACTGGGCTTTCGACCCATGGCGGCTGACTTCACGGGAGGATGTAGTTTACGGCTCGCAAGTTTTTGTGACGGAGAAGATTGCGAGCCAAAACAGCAGTGGGGCGCGCGCGATAGGGCTTGTTTGCCTTCTTTTGACCAATCAGCAGCATCCACGGCCAACCAAACATGCCTCGGGCAGCTTGAGTATCAGCCAATCATAAGTGCTGCGTGAGCGCCAAAGCACCTCGCACACTTCAACGTGCGCCAAGAATGAAGGACCTCGTACAATCAATCTGCCTAAGTATACATCCATCAGCAGCGCCGCTGATGACTGGCTGATGTCTTATGCCATGAGTTTGCAATGTGCTAGATAGTCCAGGTTGCAACTCCTTTCCACAAATGGCTACTTGAACGAAGGTGTCTGAATACGAAGGCCGGTATCGCTGGAACACCCTCCTGCACAAGTAAACACGCAAATGGCTGTGGTCTAAATGGAGGCATTTTCGAATTCGTTGACTTTATTTGCTCTAAAAATAGGAGCACCGAGGTACATTGACCGTATTTGCTCCAATGAGAAAATTAAAAACGTTGACTTTATTTCTGCTCGATAAAGGTGTGGCTATGACGTCAAATGGTACTCATATCAGCTATTTCCTGCACATTGTCAACCTACCTTCTCCCTCCAGCTACCTGATATGTGATTGGCTGAAAAGACCTCACGCAACCATCGCAATGCCACGCACGTCTCAAGCCATGGCGACGTCGGTGCTCGAGGCGCAGCAACGACTGTCCACGCTCTCCGTCTGCGCTATCGCAGACGCAATGGCAAAGCTGCAGATCCATAGCCATCTCGTGGACGTACTTCCAGTTCCGAGCTCTCTGTCTTCCTCCTCGTCGTCGTCGTCGTTCTTGACCACTAACATTTGCGGGTCCGCGTTTACGGTTCAACTTGTACCCGCAACAGGCGCCAGCGTCAAGAAACAGTCATTCCACTACGTCGACAAGACCGCGTCGGGTCAAGTAATTGTCATCAGTGCTCCATCGGGCAGCACGTCGGGCGTCTTTGGTGGCCTCTTGGCTGCAGCTGCCAAGGCTCGAGGTGCAGTGGCAGTTGTGACGGACGGCCGAGTGCGGGACGTGCAGGAATTGAGCGCTATGGACTTTCCTGCTTTCTCGTGCGGGACGTCCGTGCACGGACAGCAAGGGGCAACGACCGTCGCCGACGTGAACTGCCCTATCGTCGTTGCTGGCTGTGTCGTGCGGCCGAACGACATTATCCGAGGCGACGTCAATGGTGTGCTTGTTGTCCCGATTGAACGTGCAGAGGAAGTAGCTGCCATGGCGGCGAGGATTGAACAACAGGATGATCATGTTGCAAAAGCTGTGAAGCAGGGCTCTGGTCTGCAAGAGTCTTTTCGGCGCTTTCGCTCGAAGCTATAAGAGATGTCGTTCGTTGGTCCAAACTGTCTGCAACGAGTTGACAATGCATTTGACGTTTGACCACGATGGAGTGACAACCGTGACCTCATCACTTTCGTACTTGCAGGTACTGAGCTTCTAGCGCTTGTTCTGGGATTGTCTGGAGCTGCGAAAGTGCTTGCGAAAGCACCACGTCGTCTAGTAGACACGCGCGTAGATCCCTCGCACTTTGCTGGCTCTGGCTCTGTGTAACCAAGTACTGCAGCGCGTCGTCCAAGTAGTCGCGGCAGTTGTGGACGCTGACGATCTCCAGTTCCCTAACGACTACAGCGTTCATCTCCATGGCAACAAGCGATGGCGGGTACAGCTCCAAGCGCGACCTGTCCACGAGCACAATGCAGCCCATGGACTGTACCAGCGATAGCGCAAGCCCGGTCGAAGCTTTGGAGCCGACGAGATCCACGACAGCGTCCAATGCTAGCTCAGCCTGTCGTGTCAGCAAGTAGGCCGCATCAGCGGGTTCATGAAGATCCAGGGGAGTGACCGAGGCGTACTGTGACCAGACGGAGCTGCTCCAAGTGGCTGTCGTAGAGAACAGGTGCAAATTTTGCGCCGAAATCTGCACGTCTTGGTGCAGGAACCGCGTCAGCAGATTGGAGACGATAGTTGCAGGCCCGTCCGACAGAATCGCAACGTTGGTCACCTGTCGTCGCTGCAACTCGCTGACGATGGAGAGAACGACAGACATGTCGTCAGCTAGTAGTGCTAGATCGTCGGGGACACTGGGAGGGACTACAGCCAGGTTCGACGCTGGCAGCACAATGTATTCGGCAAGTGTTCCAATGGAAGCGCTGACGCCTACCACAGACGTAGAGCTGCAAGTCGATCCCTGGGGCAGCGCATCGTCACGGTTGCTTTCGTCTAGCTGCTCGCACTGACCCGCACGCCTTCGCATGAGATACGGCGACGCAACGACCCTGTCCAACACCTTGACAGGACCGACAGTCGTGCGCTCTGTCTGCTCCGAGGCCGAAAGCTGCAGTCCACTAACAGTGCCGACGAACGATCTCCCCAAGACGCCATTCCTGCCCACAATTTTGCCACGACACGTCTGCGCATCAAAGAGCGAAGCTGCTGCTCGCAAGACGTGCACTGTTGCTTCACCTGCACCTGCAGTGTTGCAAGCAACGCGTGTACACGAGACGACCGGTGGGTCCTCGCCGCATCGACATGCAGCTCTCACCGCGAGCATATCCGCTACAGCAACCACGTTCTCGCGCGTAGACGCGTCGCCAAGACCCGTCTCGTTGCTCCCATCTGCGCGTGTCGCGCATGTTTGCAGCAATAACCGCAATTCTTCTCTCTTTGGCAAACCAAACTGCTCGTCCAGTGTCGCAACGAGGTCGTGGAAACTGGACGTATCGAACAGGTCCATCGGAAGCTGCTCTTGTCTAAGCCATTGAGCAAGTGCGAGCTTGGCCTCTTGAGCTCGATCAACAGCGTGCATCCCTGCGCGTTCAGCCGACGGTGGGGCCGTTGCTGTCTCCTCCTGCATCGTGCGGCTACTCTCCACGCTCAATGATGCGCTTCCACGCTGCTCCAGCCGCGCCTTCTCACGGTGTCGCTCGTGATGCTGCGTGAGGTCATGCGTCTTGTTAGTGGCGCCTAGAAGACACGTACGTGACGTGGCATCGTCGGTAGTCACGTTCGGAGACACGCTCGGGCCGTCGATTGCGTCGGTACGAGTGACTGTCTCAGTGGCCGCCTCGTCCGACATGGCACTACGTCTGTGAGGCAGTCAACACGTCCCACGTGACTCGCAATGTATAGAAGCGCTGCGCCAAAGTGGACTACAGTGTCGCGATTTTGTTTACGGACGGCTGGTGATGGCCAGTGGTTATCTCGTTGGTTTCTGATTTGTGATTGTTACTTCCGGGTAGCCAAACGTAGTCCTCGAGGAAAGCTGTCGCAGAACGAGTTGTGAAAGGATCTGCGGACATCGTTGTTGCTACTTGTGATGACGGTCGACCCTCGGATAAGTGATGGGCTTGGTGGAGGAAGGATTGCAGGGATTTGTAGCGAAGGTTCGACCGTATTGCATGGTAGTGTAATTTACACCTGGTAATGGAGTGACATAGATTAAAGAGCGTATTATGGCAAACAAAAGGAAGCCGCTTGTTTCCGAGCCGAAACGCCCTGGTAAAGACTTGCCCAACAACATGCAAGTGATCGCCAGGCTGCTGACGAGGTACTGTTCGTGCGCTTGACAGATGTCGATGAAAGCGATTCGTAGCCTATAACTCACCGGTCGCTGCTCCCGCGACCAAACAGAGCAGCAATCTAATCAATGCAAACTTACGTGGCGATGGACCGCAACCATCGGTTTCCTGCGTTGACCTATCCTCGACTGTCAATTCTCCTCGATAGTTTAGTAACGGGACCGAGTCACCATGAACAGCTTCTATCGCAGTGAAAAAAGAGGCGCCTTGGTTTTTATGTCAACTTGACATTATTCACATTCTAAGAAAGTAAAGTACCAAATGCTCACGATAAAAATGCGCTAATAGAGAGAAAATCAAGAGACTCCGAGACGGTCTATTTATATAGAATCATGTACAAGATGTCTAGAAAAAACATCTAAGATGGGTTACAAGCGCAGAGTCGGGCAGCCTGTCGCGGAAGATGTTCGGAGAGACCGGGACGTTGCTGAGTTTGTCAGAATCGGAAGTTATAGATCCAGACATGCATTGCAGATAGCACTTTAAACGAAAATTTCGGACCGCGATGTTCACGTTTGACCAACGCTGTAAGTTGACGTATCCCAGATTCCCAAATTTTGACACGCGCTTTGAGAAACTGTGACCCGCTTACCGTGGAACACTGCGTCATTCCGCTCCCTCCACAGTTGAGCGAGATCGACAAAAATTATTAGAAAATTACGACATTTTCCAGACCTCCACTGCAGTCTCAAAACTATCTCGGAAACGTTGCAAAAGTCGACTACTCTGCTGTGTTGATAATGCAGGACCTTATCGGCGCGCAGCTGAGAAAAGCCGTTCGATCTAATTGTATGGAAGAGACACCCCTCCAAGAACTGGTAATTTGCCCCAGCATGCTATGGCTCTAAGGCGATTCCAAAACACGTGGGATGGCTATTCTTTCACACCTTGACACGCTGGTAGTGCATTGCAACTGTTGTCATCGAAACAACCCGCATGATTGATATTAAGTAGCTTTGTGGATATATGGTTTCATATCCAAACATGGTCTTCCGCGAGACCATTTCAGTATCGTAAACTTAAGAGGGACGCTAATGCGAAGCCTCCCTCGTTTATTAATATGCGTCGACCCGGACCGCAAACCGCTGCCAAATCGGTGTTAATGCGACCTAGATATGGATTTATGTAGCACGAACGCGTACCGTAACATGGTGGTTCGTATTTTATCGTTCGAAGCGAGCTCCAAAACCGCCCACGGAACCCGATGATGTCAAAGGCGTGAAGGAGACGCCCTTTTGTTGCCTTAACCGGGTCTGTAACGGGTTAAGCCTGTTACATGTCATCGGCACGAATTGTGTCAATGTCAATATCATCTTAATTAATTATTTTACAATATTAACTTTGCAGTTCAATATTAAAGGACTTTTACTTTCAGATGCAATATTCGGCACCGCTTCACAAATGGTTGATACAGGCCATTTATCAATAAAATAAACCACCAACTGATGCTAGACGCACGCAGTGGGTGGTAAGTGAGATTACGCATAAAACATTTGGATTCTGATTATATTGTGAGTAAGACAATGAAGGTATAGTAAAGGGCCCTAATTATATGAATTTGTACAGTTTGACTTTCCATGACGTTTGAGCAACTATGGCTCAGGGTCGATATTTCCTCTGCACGTACAGGTACGTGTACTTTAAAAGTGCAAACCGTTGTACTGTGACGCTACATGGAGTGATCAGATACTTGGTAAGAAGTGTGCCCCATTATAGAGTTGCTCTTGAAGAACGCTCGGCATCCAATATTGTTGCCAGACTACATTATGACTTAGTCAAGTACCATCGAAAACGTCAGCATCCTGCATCAAATAAACCTGTCAAGTCACAAATTCTGGATTTTGAAGTCTCGTCCCTAGCATTCGTACTTAGCTCTCTGTTGTTCAGTCCTGTTCGTTCTATATCGAGGAATCTTATCCCGTAGAGCCGTGGAGGCTCAAGATAAGATGCAGATCCACATAAGAAAGTGACAGACAATCGGAAAATCATGTATCCTATTTACATATCATACATGTGACTGATGATAAATAGTGGTTCCCGCCGGTTATTTACGAATATGGATACCGTAGGTTCCGATCGTATTGAATTCAATACTGGTAAAGGACACGAATCTTTTCTATTACAGTCAAGGCGAATTTAAGGTTTATCTAGCCTGTCGCATATCCAAGGGTTGCTGCTCCAGCCAAAGTTCTAACAGGATGAATAGATAACTGCTCAAATATCAATAGGATAGAATGCACCATAAAATGAGCAACGCAAATTCAACACTAACGTACACTTGACGTTGGACCACACACTTGCTCAGGATCACGTGAAAATATCCATATAGTTACCAGATTGCATTGCAACTGCTCTTTCTTCATGAAAGGAAAAAGCATTTGCCGCGGTTCGGTGGTGTCGAACATTCTTTTTAGTTTCAAAGTACCATTCATGCTAGATTGTAAGTTTGTAGCTCGCAACTACCTTATTGACAGATTTGGACATGTCTTTAACAAGAGCTTAATAACTCGATATCGTCGCATTGAGGCTGGATATGCTACGAATGAAGCGAAATAAAGAAAATTATATTGATTGAAATGTAAGGTGTGTACTGAGAGGATTGAGGTAGCTACGCTTGTGCGCATATGTATTTCACTAAAATTAGCAAATAGCATCTATCTTTATAGCACGTAAGATTCAAATGAGTGATCAAGACCAAGGACAATAATATTAGTATAAAGTCGATTGTAGCTTTCATAGCACTCAATTTTCATCGCGCGCTCTGTTGGCGTGATTTTCGCTTTGTGCGGACGTAGGCATCGATATGACCTACTGTAATACAACCACATCGTTTCGACCGCCAATTCAGTATAATTCCCAATTTTGTCGATTTTGCTTTACGAATGCCTCATGCTGCTTACGACGTATCCGAAACATCGTTTTGGCATTCTATACTATCTAATTCAACACTGCTCTACCTCGTCTCATCTGATCTTAACAATACGTCCGAAACGCTAGCTACATGTATCGAAAGCTTGATACCACATGATATGAAAAAATAGATGAACTTTACGTGGCGTCATGTAAGAACGATAAACAACATTGTCAGGTTACACGCATATGGTCCGGACATTGCAGAATGACTGTCGACGGCCAAAGATGATGATGTCCCAGGTTACTGATGTAAAGACGATTAAAGAATATTTACGTGGAAGGATATAAACGATCTTTAGTATGCGTATATTCGAGCATTAGTATCCTTGTTTGTTCCTCCTTATGATAAACAAAGGGTTAACATCTAATTTCTCACCTTATAGTGCATTTTATATTTCGTAATTGCCGATCGCAATTATACTTATAATAATCTCGTATTCATTATAAATTAAGCACGAAGATCTCATCTGCGTAGGGAAACTAACAAACACATTTTTACTAATCAATTTGCTGTATTTGTCTATGTCATTCAGCTCAAAAGTATATAAAAATAGTACGCTCTACCCGCTATAGGGCTGCGATTTCTACCTACTTGGTAGCATACCTATAGATACTAATGCCAATATAATAGGATGATTCGATTACCTTACTAACCCTATAAGATGCGCAATCTTCAGCGTAAGCAAAAAGAAAAGTATTTACAACATTATGCCGTTTTTAATGTCGAATCGACCCGTCTTTAGAAGAAGAAAAATACGTCGATCTGCTAAGCGCACCCTTTGCCGGCAGCCGCAAGATCGCAATTATATAACAAAGTGACATACGCGACAGCATCGTGTGTTGGAAGTGGACGTTGTGTGTAAGGATTTAAGAAGTAAAATGTCTTATATTCAGTGTTAAAATCTTTTCATGACACTACAAAATGTGGGATCCGGCACTAGTACTTGAACAGATCAAGCTGCAAATGACGCTAGTTTAGTTCTTATATTATAATATGTTCGTCCAACTTGTCGTCCGTTATTTATTGTCCCCCATGTCCCGATATCGACTTACACCTCTTGATATTCCAATGCCTAATATTCATAACGAGGCGTCAATGGATATTATACATTTTTATGATCTTATGTCGTGACGTGAAGGACGAGGAGATACGGGCATCACGAGGAACCATCATCTGATAATAGACGCCATGTGCAACTCGATCTAGTCAAATATACAGTGCCTTATAAATGCGTGCAGTAGTGTTGATATTTAATGTTCTCGCTTGATGTATTCGAGTCTCTTCCTACATACTTTGCACACGTACATCAACGACAACGCCTAGCATTTTATAAGCCCAGCGAAACGCGTTGGTGGAGCAGCTCAAGCGCTACAACGCTGTGGTAATCAGGTCACAACCAGCATTCGTCATTTTGACGAATAAGCCTGCAGTGTTTGCGGCGATATTGGACAAATGCTCGTACTGCTTGGTGTCTCTTTCCTCTTAGGCTGGATAAGTCGACCGTCAACACAAGAATACTGCGGTGTCGAGCATTTATATTTTGTTTTTTATGTGAAGGGCAGACAATGATATACCACAAGTTAC